ATTCAGATTTTCTCGCTAGTCAAACATCAGTACAAAATAATAAACCAATAGATGTTACCACTGAGGGTAATCTTTTTTCTTTTTTTTTCCACTCTGCTTGGCCAAGAACACAAGAGACTTGATTGCTTGCTCTAATGTTCGTGTACTTAGCACGTTGCTGCTGTGTTCAGGGTTTGCAGGAGGCAGTTAAAATCCTTTCCGTCTAAGGCTAGTTGTCAGTGTCTCTTTTGAATGCCTCAGCATGCACAGAGTTTAGATCGATGTCACCTGCGTTCAGAAAAGTTTTTAAAGCGAAAGCTGACCCCATTTGCGGAGCAGCTCCTTCAGCCAAACCGACGACAAGGCTTGGGAATGGCACCAGTTTGGATTGAAGCCTGTAAAGCAGTGATGTGACTGCATGCGCTCAACACCTAGCATGCGTGTGTCAGTGAGATGGAGGTGCTTTTGGCTGTCGGGATGATGAATAGATGCTGCTTTGTTTCCAATCCTTTCTAACTCTGCAGCTGTTGCTTTATAAAACGTTGCCTGGAGTTGGCAGAGTGTGTTTGAAGCCCCATGGGAAAGAATGCATCACTGCTCTTTGCTCCATTGCTTCCACTGGTACAGGTTGACCATATCTTTTCTACTTATATTTTCTGTATGCAGGTGATGGAGTCTTGAATTAATGTTTTTGGTCACTGTTTTAGGTATTTTATTCTGTCACCTGGAGTCCCTTACCAGGGGGCTGTGTGTATTTAGTGGTTGTGCACCAGTGCCTTTCACTGAATGGCATTTGGTCTGCTCAGGTGCATCTCTAAGCCCCAGGGACATTGGCGGACAAAAGAGAGTGTGAGTTTTGTTGCCAGTAATAGCTAACGGGGATTCTCTGTTGGCCCAAATAATAGAAGCCTATGGGCTGTTTGGAGCTGATGGTCCTCAGGTTTGTTCCTCCTGCACATGCATGATAGGGTGTGACAGTGGAGTTATAGCAAAGCTGCTGATTTTGTTACAGCTTATGGGCAATTGGCATTCACCGTTGTGCCCAGACTACATCTGGGATAGCATGGCCCAGTGCTGAGTCCTTTAGGTAAGTTATATTCCCCTCAGGTACTTATTGTAAAAATGCCATCCCCAGACGGGTAGTGATGAGTGGAACATGAGTCTTCTGTTTGAATGACTCAGGCTGATTCATATCAGGCTTATCATCTCTAAGAGTATGGCTACACTGCAGTAAAACCCCTGTGGCTGGCCCGCATCAGCTGACATGGGCTGTGGGACTATAAAATTTCAGTGTAGATGTTCACGCTTGGGCTGGCTCTGGGACCTGCAAGTGGGGAGGGTCCTAGAGCCTGGGCGCCAGCCCAAGGCTAAATGTCTACGCTGTAGTTTTGTAGCCCCAGAGCCCAAGCCCCACATGGGCCAGCCGCAGGAGTTAAATTACAATGTAGATATACCCCTTGTCATAAATATAAAGGGAAGGGTAACCTCCTTTCTGTATACAAAACTATAAAATCCCCCCTGGCCAGAGGCAAAACCCTTTCACCTGTAAAGGGTTAAGAAGCTAGGATAACCTTGCTGGCACCTGACCAAAATGACCAATGAGGAGACAAGTTACTTTCAAAGCTGGGGGTTGGGGGGGACAAAGAGTCTGTGTCTGTCTGTGTGATGCTTTTGCCAGGAACAGAAAAGGAATGGTGTCTTAGAACTTAGTAAGTAATCTAGCTAGATATGCGTTAGATTATGATTTCTTTAAATGGCTGAGAAAATAAGCTGTGCTGAATGGAATGGATATTCCTGTCTTTGTGTCTTTTTGTAACTTAAGGTTTTGCCTAGAGGGATTCTCTGTGTTTTGAATCTAATTACCCTGTAAGGTATTTACCATCCTGATTTTACAGAGGTGATTCTTTTACTTTTTCTTTAATTAAAATTCTTCTTTTAAGAACCTGATTGTTTTTTCATTGTTCTTAAGCTCCAAGGGTTTGGGTCTGTGTTCACCTATGCAAATTGGTGAGGATTTTTATCAAGCCTTCCCCAGGAAAGGGGGTGTAGGGCTTGGGGGGATATTTTGCGGGGAAGACGTCTCCAAGTGGTCTCTTTCCCTGTTCTTTGTTTAACACGCTTGGTGGTGGCAGCAAAGGGTTCAAGGACAAGGCAAAGTTTGTACCTTGAGAAAGTTTTTAACCGAAGCTGGTAAGAATAAGCTTAGGGGGTCTTTCATGCAGGTCCCCACATCTGTACCCTAGAGTTCAGAGTGGGGAAGGAACCTTGACACCCCTAGTTGAAGAGCAGCGACAAAAGCTGCATCAGCTCATCTGTCAGTGCTCATTAGCTCATTCTCTGAATTTCCCCACAGCACCTATCGTTCTTCAGTGATGCTCAGATTAACCCTTTGACATGGGGACTTTGGCTTTCTGGTGCCCTGTACCACAGTGCTAGTGCTGTGATGCTGCATTGACAGTCAGGACATCTCACATTTGTATCTAAGCCCCTGGGAGCAGCTTGGAGCACCATGTACGTAGTAAGAGTGTCTTGTTGGGTCACATTGGAAGTGTTTGGGACATAAAGGCACAAGGCAGACTGGATGTCAGAGGGTGGTAGCCATTTCTTTTGAGCACTTCCAGTGGTTCCACTGAGGATAGTTTCAATAGTCTCTGCTTTCAAGAAGCTACTTGTACCCACTCTCTACGGCAAGCTCCTGGAGCCAGGAGATGTCAAGTCTCAAATAGTCATATGGTTAGTGTGATCAGAGGCAGATTAAGATTTACTGGGGCCCTGGACACAAAGAACTTTTGCCCTGCCCCCCCTCCTCCCCCCTTACCCAGGTTCTGGTGCTCCTGCGGGGGGGGGGGGGGGGGCAATTGGCCAGGGCCCCTGGGCGTGGGCCCATGCATTAATCCACCACTGAGTTTGATGCAGCTGTGGGTTGAGAGGGCAGCCTGGAGCCATGGGAGGTAAAGACCAGTTGGATCAGGCTGTGTGGGGAAGGTGCATTGAATTTGGTGGAGCTGGCATTAAATCATAATGGAAGACTTTACTTAGATTTCCCCTGGGAAAGCTTTTTCTGCCTTATGTTGCCATTCCTTATTGCTGTAAAAGGCTGATTTTACACAGGGATTGCTTCTGCAGAGGCTCTGTGTTGACTGCTTTGCTCCATGCTGGTCTGTCTGGAGTTGTATTCCTGTGGGAAAGAGGAGCTTTTCTGCAGCTATTTTTTTAACCTATATGGTAGGAAAATGTGTGGCTGAGAGTTGGCTACACAATTATTATTAATCACTTGGGCTCCCACAGATCTTCAGGGTTGAAAAGCTTGTTCTGAGCTATAAGCCCAGCTTCCTGCTGTTTTTGCTTTATTAGTGGCAGGCTGCTGGAAGGGGGGAAGGAGGGGTCCTTGGAAAAATTTGTAGCAGTCAGTGGAAAAAGTGGTGGGTTAGTAACCTTTAACGTTCTCTATGGCTGACCCTGATATTGGGAACTAGGAGGAGGAGATACATTATTTCCAGGCGGGTTCTGCTTGGATTGCATACAGTAAACAGCTACCAATTAATAAGCTGACTATGCAGCTTTGGGCGTACTTGCTCTGAGGCCTCTGTACCCACCTTAACGCTGCTGATGAATGGCAGATAAAGGGAGCGAGTGTTGTCAATGGAAGTTGAAAATGGCTCAGCATTTGCCTGTTCCCTGAGGCCCATGTTTAGTATTTTTTGCACAGCATAAGGCTTTAGAGGAAAAAACGCTAAGGCATTTGACACTCTCTTGTATATTAATTTCGATGTCCATTCTGTTCCCCGCCAAAAATGTTGAGGGAATTAAGGTTGAGAGTACATCTCCGTAACTTAAGGGTAAACATCATCACCGGGATGTTGTAATTCTCCCAAAATCCAGGAGTGGAGATGATGCTTAAAAGAAATCCAACCAAGTTAAGGTAAGAATGACACATTTAAGGGTTAGGCAACCCATAATTGTAGACTGCCGTGATGCCATGGAATAATCATACGGTTATGACTTGAGGCATTGAATCAACTGGTTCAGCATCAGACCTTTCCCCTCAGGGTGTGACTACAGGGCAGAGGGGAACACGGCCTGGCCCCGCTGCAAAAAGCTGGCTTGAGATGTGGAAAAGGTGGGAAATATCTGTATTTCTGGAAGAACAGATGTGACAGAGTTTCCCACCTCACTAGGGTGTGAAGGGGTTAATGTCTTTCCTGGAACAGGGTACTGGGGAAGAAGTCACATGGGCTGGAGGCATCTCTGGAGTGGTGAATGCTCAAGAACCCTCAGCAACTGAACCTAGCCCGTGGAGACACAGTGGAGGACAGCGATCCGTCATTAACTTTTAATGACTGGCAGCCGAACATGTGGCACCAGCTCAGCTGCAACTTGAAACCAAGACCCTGAGGTGTCAGCTCGCTGGAATAAGAATTTGGCTGCCAAGTGCAGTTTGGCAAATTGAGTCCTAGATGCTCTGGGCTAGAGGCAGGGTGTACTGCTAGCATGGACATCTGTGTAAGCTTCTCTCTCCCATTCTCACCTTCCCGTACTGCGTTCAGTTGACTAGTAAGTGCTGGCTTGTTTTGAGAAGGCCATCCTATGTTGCTGCAAAACGTCTGCTGGTTGTATGGTTCCCAACAAGGGGTAAGTCTCCAACAGGGGCATAAAGTCCTTTGGACCCGTTGGAGAAACCACAGCAAGAAACGGAGTCATGCAGCCAGAGCCCCAGTCTTGGAGTGGGCAGAGCCATGAGGCTCTCCCTTGCAAAAAGTGAAGGCCTAGGGTAGAGCGCTAATGGGGTATACTCCCAGAAAGAGTGTATAAAGGTCAGAGGCCTGGTAGGCCCTGGGGATCTAAAGATAGGAATTTAATCTGAAAGAAAAGTGCGGGTTATAGAGTTGATGAAGCAGCTGTTACAGAGCAATAGCAGAAGTGGTACAACTAATTATTCTGCAAGTGCCAGAATACTTACCTGGAGCTCTCTTCTCCCCCCCCCCCCCTTCTTTTTTGTGTGTGTGTTTTTCCCTTAACAGTATTGAAGGAGAATATGTTCTGGTGGCTGGCGATGAAGTCACCTACAAGATGTGCTCTATTCCACCTAAGAATGAGAAGCTGCAAGCTGTAGACGTGGTCATTACCCATCTAGCACCTGGAACAAAACACGAGACCTGGTCAGGGCATGTTATTAGTTCCTAAGTTATCCCGCATGAAGCTGTATCATCGAAGACACTCAACAACTGACTTTCACGTGAGACTGACAAATGAATATTTTGCATATTGAGTGGGAAAACTGTTAATAAGGTAGGAGTTGGCCAAATTACCATTTTTACAATAGGCACGATACTTAAAAACAACATACAAACTCTAAGGGAAAAAAATAGCTTAAGGAAATTTCCATGCCGGGTGTGTCTGCTTTTGTGATCTGTGACTTGAGTGATAGTGGATGCCCAAAGGTGTTAGGAACTCTAACTAAAACAGATTGGAGTGATAAGATTTTCTATCAAAATGGCGGCACCGAGGGACATGCTTAGAGACCCAGTATCTACCTGTAACATATTGTTCCCTTTGGCTAAATTTCTGTAAATGTGGTGAATGCTCAGGCAGCAGAATGTCAGCAGAATACTGCTAAAAAGTCTCAGAGTAAATGTACTTGTGAGAGAGAGAGAAAGAGAGAGAGAGAGAGACATTCGTTGCTGCAATTTCTTTTCTTCACAAGCTAAATAACAAGCACATTGTACAGTCTTAATCTGACAGCTCTCAGTTTTGACAGCACCTTCTGGTTAACTGTCAGGTGGAACAGTTGCAAATTAGCTAGCTGCAGGAGTGTGGAATTGTTAGCTTTATTAAATGTGGGTTGTTTGTGCATTTACGTTGTGTGCCTTGATGGGTGATTAGCAACAGATTTACAGACCAGTAGTTACAAAAGTAGGTTGCTTCGCACTAAGCAGTAGAAAAGCAACAGAGGTGGGAGTGGTTCACAGCCTCTGATAGTGCCTGAATTTAATTAAATCTTTAAACTGCCTTGATTTTTTTCATATATACATGATTGCGAGAGTAGTTAGTGTCTACCATGGCTTGTTAGCATTTACAGAGTCACGGCAGCTGCGAAAAAGCGAACTCTGCCATGTTCAGATCACTGTATATAAAACGCTGTGTGAATTATTTAGTAGCTTGAGTGAGAAAGCCTTGTAGTGGATTCTGCGTCCTGCTTTCCTGCCAAGCCTGCTCAGTGCTGTGTAGTGCTGCGGCCACCACCTAGAATCTCTTCTCCGCTTCTGTTCCCGCAGGCTTTCGCGCAGACAAACCATTGTAACTGTTCATTTCTGCATCGGCTCTGCTACTGCTTGTCCTCCGTAAATTTTCCAAATGAAGCATTGTCCCCCCACAGAGTGAGCAGAAATTAAACCGGTTGAAATGAAACTCTCTTCTCTTAGTTACGTGGCATTTGCCTGTTCACTATAGTAACAATCAGGACTTGTGCTGTTGTGGAATGCATGAAGATGCTATTTCACAGAGAAAAGTGAAATGGCCCAAGCCATTTCAACCTACAGTGATTTAAAAGAAAAGAAATGTGAAGGTTAATAATTACTGTGATATTTCGTTTCACTTTTAATTCATCTATATTGTACTGCTTAGTTTGTAAGCTACTTTGAGTTTTAAACCTGTATTTGTTGTGGGTTTAATATGCTGTAGATTGTAGATTAGCATACACTGCTTCCTTCACAATAAAAGTTTATTTCATAACTGGTTGATAAGTTATCGTCAGTATACTCACTCACGACCTATTCTGTATTTAAGACTAGTACTAATTAAAAGTTTGTGTGTGTGTGTGTGTGAGTGAGTGAGTGAGAGAGAGAGGTGAAGTTGTTCACAAAAATCACTTCTGTGCAATATCAAATTATGGGTGTTGGAAAATGAGTAACTTTACAGTTTCCTAGCTGGTGAAAACATTAGTTAAATCTAGCAGTTGTGTAGGTTGACTGACCTCTGGTGTATTTTATTAGAAGACTTTAGGTTTTAAGTAAAATCTGTATTCTTTTTCAGGTGTTTACTTGATAATCACAAAGCTTGTTTATTTATGATCACTGCACTCATGACCAGTGAGACTTGCTGTCTGCAGGCTATAACTAGATCAGGCGTAACATGTTTAAGACCCAGCCCACAAAAACACAATGTAATCAACTTGTGTTTGTAGAACAGCCACATTGGTGACTATAAACATGGTGCTTGCTACGTTTTGATATGTAATAGTGCATGAGAGTTTCAGCCCTGTGTAGACATCAGTCTGTCCTACTTAGGGCTTTACTTGCCCTCTGCAAAGCACTTTGACAGCATATGAATGGTTAGCTTCAATATCAATAGCCTACACTACGCTGAATGAGATGTTGGGTTTTAAGAAAATGTTGTAACTATTTTCCTTATTTTTGGATGTCAAGCTGCACTCATTTATCTCCCCAGGAACACAGATGTCAGTGTTCCCAAGAGCGCGCTGGTCCAAGGTTCAATTGTTGATAGTAGGTCACATTTTAAACGGTAGTTCTAGAATAGCTTAGCAATAAATTGTGATCTAGTAATAACAGTGTGTGTGTGGGAGGAGGGGTGCGCACACGCCAGCCACAAGGAAACCAGGTGGCTCTGTTGTTCTGCCTTCTGTGTAAGCCACTAAGCTAAGGCAGGGGATGCGGGTTGTTCACAGCAAGAACTCAATATTAACTTCACTATGGAATCCCGCAGGTCTAGTGGAAAGCGCCCATCTCCCCACCCCTCTCTCTCTTCCCACCTCTATCTAACAGCACAGATTCCTCAGCCCCGCACAGAGGAGTTCAGCTAGAGGGGCCAGAAGAAAACTATGCCACAGAGGTCTGATGTTTTCAGGTACTTTTCATTCCTGGTTTGTAATTTATTTTATCAGAACATGGAGGTTACGTGAGTGAATTTCTCTGCAGTCCCATGACTGCAGTTTTTCTTTAAGGTTCTCCATTGTAAGGGATCTGCAGCCCTTTGCACGAGGAACAACACTTAGTCGCATACGCTCAGGAGTGGAACCCACCAGCTGTTCACTGTGGCGCATTACTGCGGCATCCTTATTGCTTGAGTCTGCTATTTGCTGACTTGTTTTCCACCTCAAGCGTTCTCAGTCAGCAAATTCAATAGCTAATGGTCTGCCATAAGATTGTTTCAGAGTTACCATCAGACCCTGTCCTCATGGCCGCACAGCAAAGGGCTGGATTGTGGAGGAAAGGTACCATCACGCTACTGGCATGGGAGCCTTAAAGCTCTTAATCAGTGGCAGTGGATGGATCAGTTGATGTTGCCTGCACCTGGCATTGGCCGCTGTTGGACAGCAGGGTACGGGGCTAGATAAACCATTGGTCTGACCCAGTATGGCCATTCTTATGTAGAATTTAAAGCTGCTTTGCAAGCCACTTTCAGTGCCTGAGAACTTTGAGAGGCAGAACTGGCTCCCTGACAAGCCTCCCCCACACGGAGCAGAGATTGGCACAGAGAAAATCGAGCCCATCTTGTGAACGGGCTGAACAGAAAGTAAAATAAAAATACTCTTAGTAATCTGTGAGCAACAGCAGCTGGAGGCTATCAAATAAGGGAAGGATCTTCTCCTTACATAGTAATCTGATCGTAGTTTGGCTGAAATGTTTCCTAGGAAATCTGTACAACTAGGGTTTGAACTGTTGTAAAAATCAGAATCTTCTTTAAGTGTAAAGTCACTATGGCTTCCCGTCTTTCTTAACACAGCAATTGAGTCTTGGTTTTTTCCTTTGTTTAGTTATTTTATTATTCGTATTTCATTTCATCCCAGTTGTGGTTTGAACTGGAGTTTTCCCTCCCACATTTTTTCTTTAGGACCCCTGCTTTTGGTCCATTAGCACTCCGGCTTATGCAGAAGATTCTGGGGTTTAAGCCCTGCCAGACTTGCCCGAGGTCTTTTCCTCCCTCGTGACAGACATTTGAGTTACCTCCAAGACACTCCGGTCTCGTCAAAGTGTAAGGTCGTACAGGGTTTAAAGGCAGGTCTCGGAAGGATAGAGCTGTCTGAAACGCCCTCTAATGGAATGCTCACTAGCCCCGATGGGTTCCACATCAGCCTCTACATCCCAGGCTCCGCCAGTGACTGTTGCAGCTTAAGCAGCACCTTTAGAGACTAGGACACCGAAGAAGCCTCTTTCCCACACCTGAGAAATGTGGAGGAGGTGTAGGTCAGCCCCTTAAATCCTACTCTAAGGAGACCTCATGGCCCTCAAAGGCTCCAGCTAAGACTCTATCTGATTCCGGTACTGAGCCAAAAAAGCAGGGTGCAGAGAACTCTTCTAATAGACAGGACAGGGAGCCTTCTTCCTCGGTACAGACTGACACCCCTTGGCACCAAGATGCACCTGGCCCTTCTACGCAGGCTTGGATACCCTCACCTTCCGTGCAGAGCTCTGAGATCAGAGCATGGCTCATAGATGGTTCTCGAGCATGGAGCTAACCTGCTTCAATAAAATCCAATCAATCTAGCAGAAAACCTAGTACTCGCAAAATTTACCTTCAAAAGTAAACTGCTTCCATTCCTGGTGTTTTCTTCGAAATGTCTGATGCTTAAGAAGAGTGCTCTCCCACGATCCTAGTATGACTGAGGTCCCAGGGGAGCCACACTGAGGTTACTCAATTAGGGCAAACAATCCCCAAAGCTGATGGATATTCCAATACTTAGATTTACAAAGCCTGCACAAAAAAGCTCCAACACTACCCTTACTGGTTGCACAGAAGCCAAAACACAGTTCTCTTAAAGCAACCCAGCCATGGGCTTCCACCCAGCCAAGTCAAATATGAAAGTTCTACCAATCCCAAAGGATCAGACACATCACCTCCCAAGTTAATGAATATTTCAGATCTTACCCAACTAAACTAACATTGAAAAAGAAGAGAGAGTGAGTATTGGTTAAAGGATCAATATACATACAGACACGAGTACAGTTCTGAGATCAGTTTCGTAGTAGAGATAGTGCATGCTGGAGTTAGAGTTCTTAGAATTAGTCCAAACATTCAGGGCACTCTTCATAGCCAGGGTGATCCAGGTGGGATTGAAGATCTCAGTCTTACAATTTGAACTTCCCTTGCATAAAGCAGATCTGAGATAAAAATGATCAGGACCTAACGCATCAGGACCTAAGCATCACCGGTAATTAGCTATACCGATTAACATAAGACAATTGCCTTAATCACTATGCTGCTATCACTATATTTACAGTTAAACGTTAAGATCTCTGAATTAGCAGAATACAGCATAGACAGGAACTGTTTGTTTGATTACATATATATGTTAAGAGGTTGACAACATAAAGACTGCAGGATGCTTAATCCTTTCTGGCCATGTGCCACACCTAGACTGCCTGTTGGATTTAAAAACAATGGGTTCAGTCAGAGTACATTTGGTTGCCCACACTACTACAGCCAGATGGCAGCGAGGTTTACACAACTTATTTTCTCCCTGTGTAGCCCAAGTGAGACTTTAATGTGGGGCTCAGTGCCCTGAGGAACTCTCCTATCACCTTTGAACCAATGGCTTTCCATTCTTTCCTCCACCTCTCCCTCAAGAGTTCATTCCTTGGAGCAGTGCTTCCCAGACTTGGGACGCCGCTTGTTCAGGGAAAGCCCCTGGCGGACTGGGCCAGTTTACCTGCCGCATCTGCAAGTTCAGCCGATCGCGGCTCCCGCTGGCCGCAGTTTGCTCCTCAGCCCGCATCGCTTCCTGCAGCCCCCATTGGCCTGGAGCGGCAAACCGCGGCCAGTGGGAGCCGCGATCGGCCGGATGCGGCAGGTAAACAAACCAGCCTGGTCCACCAGGGGCTTTCCCTGGACAAGCGGCGTCCCAAGGTTGAGAAACACTGCCTTGTAGCCATCATTTGGCTAGATGAAGGGGAGCACTCAATGCTCTCAGGGTAGACCTGCCATTTACTACCTTCTGTAGAGAGAGGATTACACTGTGTCCCCATCCTTGCTTCCTGCTTGAGGTCTCTCTATTAATCACACAAGCTGCCCACCAGTGATCTATCCCAAAGCCTCATGCCACCAGAGAGGAAACCAGCCTACCTACACTAGATGACAGAAGGGCTCTCAGCTGCTACCTTAAGACCTCCTGGGCCTTTCCTAGATCGTCTGCAGAGAGGATGAAGGGACAACCTAGTTTGACTCAAAGACCATCAAAGCGGGTTTTGCATTGCAGTTTAACCTGTTATGAATCTGCTGCGATGCAGCCTGCAAAGGGCCAGCGTATTCAACTAGCACTCAGTCCACAGCTAAAGTTCTACTGAAAGATGTCTCAATAGCAGAAACCTCTAGGACTGCACCTTGGTCTTCCATTCACATTTGTCAATCATTATGCCCGTTTAGCTGCTGCTGCACTCCTCTGAACAGTCGTGCCTCCTTGAGATGTTTTGTCCTTATGAGTTCTCCAGTGCCTGCCCCTCAGCTCTGCTGCTCACGTGAGCAAGCATAGAGCGGTGGTGGGGCCAGGCCTCCCCTCCTTTAGTGTTGCAGAGACTGCTTTGCATTCTTCGGGGGCAAGTGCATGGGTGACACTTTTTTACAGGGGTGCGCCCATAGAGATAAAACATCTTGAACGCTGACCCCAATAGCAAAAAGCTCACTGCTCAATCTTTATTTACAAAGGAAGAAAACTTGGCATGTTACAGCTCTCCCTAGAGCACATTTATTATGTGACATCAGCCAAGGCTGTGTCAGATAATTCTCTTGAATGGTGGGCTGAGAAACACAGGAAGGGTTGGAACTTCCTAAAGTTTTTTTAAACCATATTCTAGAAAAGGGATTGGCAACAGCAGCACGCACGCACACAAAAAGGGAGGGGCAAACAGAGTTTAGTTCTTTGCTAGTGAGACTAATAGGCATGGCTGTTCCTTTTTAAAAAAGGAATTTCAATGTGACTGCAGTGCTGCTAGAATAGACACAAGAGAGAAAAGAGCAATACAGGCGAACTCAATTATTTTGTGTCAAGGTCCAGACAACATAATACAAAAATAACGCTAACGCTACTGTCTGTCAAAAGTTACGGGCAGTCTGGTTATTGACTAGCCCTGCCATAGGAGATGACAAATTCAGCCCAGTTCTCTTAGGACGAGGTCACTTCAGCAATAATAGGCAGTATTTCCACTCACTAAGCTGCAGAGTGTTACGATGAGGTTCCATTTGCATATATAAGGCAATGAAAAAATGGTAATACTGTAACATAACTGGCCAGTCAAGACTCTGCTACAAGACACGTGAACCACAGCAGTAACTGAAGATTATTAAAATATGGGGCTGCAGTGTTCTCAATGCAGCTGCCTATGGCAGTCTTTCCAGTGACTTCAATAAAACTTGCATTGCCTTTTGACCAATGAAATTAGTCTGAGACTCAACTAACCCCACCTGGCACATTCTGAATACTTTGGTCAGCTTTAGTCATATCCTGTTGAGTGGTTTGTCTGCAAGCTGTTTTTTGTTTACATAGAGGCTTATTTGTTTGCATGAGACAAAATTCGGTAGCTAACCTGTTTCTCAGTGAGTTGAAGGCTTCAGCTCACAGTAACAAATAGTAACTTGCATCCCAGGTTTGCCAACTTTCATTTAAGCTTCATACAAAATCTAAAATAGTTACTGTTAGGGTGAAATGTAGTGTGAACAATTTGTTATACAGGGAAATGATAGTATGTTTAGTGCTGCAACAAACACTCTAGGATCTGGTCTTAGACCAAAATGTACAGTGTAGGCAACATTCCACTTTGCTACTATCTCACATAGTTGATTCTTCAACTTGTTATTAAATATACAAACCCATCTCTCTCTTGGTACAGACTAGTTTGCAAGGCATCATTAATGTTCTGACAAGTTATTTAATTATCCTACACTGCAGTAATAGATGTGACCATTACACTTTGCAAGGAAAACACAGTGAAGGGCAAGACATTTTAAAGGTAATTTATACAGGTATAAGGCTGCTGGGCCTTTCTGTTCCTTGTACATGTGACGGTTTATTTAATCCACATCTAAGCGTCAGTAATTTTGCTGCAGTTCTCCGTAGAGGACGATGGGAGCTGTGGTGGACCTTTAGCTCAAACAGGTTGGAGGAAAAATATTTGGTTTAAATGCCAAGGGAAGAGATGTTTGTTTATGGCATTACAAGGAGGAAATGGAACTGATTGGTTCTCCAGTCTTTCAGGTAAAACAAGGTGACAAGTCTCTCTCTCTGTTTATTACACCTATTTTGAAAGCACATTAGCTTAATGGTGTCATTTCTCCCTTCGTCCACTAAATCTAAATCCAAAACATACATTTCTAGGAATCAAATAAGCCAGTGAAATTTTAATTTTAGCCTATGAGGAGTTAAATCAGGTCGTGTAAATTTGATCCAAAAACATCTAGGAGTTTTCAATTATGTTTCCCAATGTACCACTTCAGAGAAAAAACAGCTGAACCTACATATCCTAGTTAGATAATTCATTTTTAAAAAGACATCAGTACATAACTGAATTAAAAATATGAAAGAGTTGTTCCTAAACAAATGTTGCTATGCTTGACAAATCAACATTGAATTCTCCCTAGTAACATATGACTAACAGGACATTTACTGTTTGTGAACCATTATGAAAGAACACCACTGGAAAGAAGTGAAATATTTCATGTTTGAAGGGATTGGTATTTCTTCTTCAACTCAGTGTTTGGCTGCTGTCAAATCTAAAGGAAAGCAAAGTCATTTATTTAAAAAAGAGCTCTTCACAGATTCTTCTTGTGTCCTCTGGTGATGTAACACTGTGGCCTACTGTTCGGGAGTCTGTGTAGATTTCATAATCATTTCCACCCTGGGGACAAGAGACAAACAAATCAGTTGCCTTCTTCATAGAGCAGATGCATGCTCGCTTACATGGTGTATATGCATTAAGGACATTGTGTGTGTTGTGAAAAGGGTGGATGTGAATGGCTTTCAAACTCCAATGGAGCAACAGTCCACTGAAAAGGTTTCTGGAGAGCCAGCTTGTGCAGCACATAAACAAACACAAGTTAGGCTTAACCAGCATTTGAATTGTTATTTACTGCAATAGTAACTTAATCCATTTGTTACTCACCAAAGAGTGTATAAAATAGAAAAAATACTAAACCACTGTCTAGTCATTTGTATGTAAAAGCTGATTTACATACAAATGACTAGACGGTGTAGTAGATTCAATCTGTACACTTACTGGTCAATATGCTCAGAGTAGCTTTTGATTATTTTCTTAGAAAAATCTCTCCAGTGTACCATTTAACAAATTCAGTGTCTTTCAAAGATGGGGATAATTGAAGATATACTAAAGTAACTTTTTAAAAGCCTGAGCTAAACGGTACAAACCTTTACGTCAGGTCTAATACTATAAAGTTTTGTTGGTATAGCTATGTTGGTGTGCCAACATGCCCGCAAAATCCCCACGTATATGCAGCTATGCTGCCATAAAAACCGTCAGCATATGCTGTGTCTACACAAGGGAGATTAGCCCTTCAGATTTTACTGGCCCAATTGGACACTCACAAGTAACTTACTTATACCGCAAACAGGAAGCTTGTCTGTAAAATGCCTACTGTACAGTTGATAGGAGTGACAAATCACGACTGAGTTATGCATGTTATTTCCAACTTGTGCTAATAAACTTTTATATCATCCCACATCTTGTAATTTCCTTATCATATTTTACAGAAAAACTATTGTAGATTTTTTTTAAAGAAAAGCACCTTTTATTAATCAGGCTCTCTCACAGCTACAGATAGATAATTGCTAATCTTTCAAGCCCCTTAATTTCAACATCTTGATTTATTAAAAAAAAAAATCCTCTTCAGCCCTAGAAAGATGCTTAATACCTTCTGATGGAGGGGATGTGAAAAGACTGGTGTGCAGGGGCAGGGTCTTCCCACACAATTTGATTTTGGTAGGGAGATGTCTCAGGCACTCTGCCGGCTACACAACACAGTTGTGCAAGGGGACAGGGGCCTTACTCCTTCATATTCCCCTGTGAGTGTCCACAACAGATTTAGTATCAAGTAGTTTTTAAAAATCTAACCATGTGAATGCCCCTTCAATTTGATCTGTAAAAGATGGGTTGGAAACAGAGGCAGAGGTTACACTAGTATTTCCAACATACGATTTTTCAGAAGCCAATGCAAGTCCTTGTTTTCATGGTGTGACCTAACTGTCTATGTGGACCCTGCTGGTGTGCACTAGGGAGCTTTTAGTGCATGTTAGCAGGGTCCACTGATGCACCTTGTAAACCAGCCAGGTAACTGTAGCTAGCTTGTTCTGTGCACTCTTATTTAAAATCACTCCAACAACACAGCTGTACAGTTCAGTAACAGTACATTTGGAAGAGAGTTTGTTTCGTGCACAAAGTTCTTGTGGTTTTGAGACTGCACAGCACAAGGTGTTCTGACACAATTAGTCTAATCCAATGGTTCTCAAACTTTTTGTACTGGTGACCCCTTTCACACAGCAAGCCTCTGAGTGTGACCCCCAACCCCCCTTATTAATGAGGTTGTAAAGCAGGAGCCCAGACAGAAGAACTCGCTTTCAGTGTGTAACATGCCAGAGGCCCTTGGAGCTAGAGAATTTTTAATATTTTACACTGAGTGGGTTAGAGGGAGGGGGAGAGACATTTTATTCTGTCAAATGGCTAAACAGAAATTGGCTTAAATATTTTTGAGGAAGAAAATGCAGGGTATTAAATAGAGGTAAAAAAGTTCAGCAACGTGAGGTGGTGCCAATCCAAGAAATGTTTGACAAAAGGTTAAAGCCATAGCGTGGTTTCAGTCTCTAATCTAATTGATTAAAAAGTCCTGCTTATGGAGCTTTCCGTTTGGGAAAGGGATTCTAAATGTATATGCAGAATAGTGCAGTACTCACTGGCATGGTTTTATCTCCAAAGAAATAGACAGTCTTGTATCCATCGTTGCCAGCAATTCCTAAGCAGTATCTCTTATCCCAACCATTTGGAAATACATCAAAGCTTATCTGCCCCCCTAAGTAAAAGGTAGACAAGAGGCAAGTGTTAATGGGGGAGGGGAAAAAAAGGAACTCTGCTGACTGAGGCTGAACGCCACTGAAGCAGATTCTGATAAAGGAAACTGAACAAGTCCGAGACATGAATGAGATGAAAGGGAGTTAAGGCTGAGAGAACACACCAAGACTTTAGTGTAAAACACATCACAGGGATGTTACAATGGTAGTAGACTAGTGTAGACTTGGCCTCAGGGCGAATCAAGCTCTACAAGTGTGTCTGAACTCTCCCTGACACAAACTTTGCAACCAATTCAGCAGAAAATGAGTGTAAATTAAGTTTGTGTGTATTAATGAGGACTGTCGGTTATCACTCTGTGCTTTGAACCAATTAATTCTGAATGGAGCCAATGCCAGAACCCCCACCAGCTCTACAAAAACAATGACCGTTTTCAGGGACACCACATATCAGAGACTGTCTGACGCTGAGCATAGATGTTTATGCTTGAGAACTTATAGATATACAATTAAACTCATCCATTGACATAATCCCTCAGCATGGGAAGGAAGCTACCTGACTCAGTGCATACCATCTTCTGGAAAGAGACGTTCTCAAACACAAGAAAGATTTTCAGGTAAGAATTCCAACCACTGACAAACAAATCCATTTGAATAGCCTGTGTGGAGTGCATAAGACCCGCTCCTACTCCTTTTCTCAATGTTCTAATGGAATATACAACATTGTGGGTGAGTTCCTGGTTCTTTGAATATGACTGCGTTCACACAGTAAGATTTCATAAGAGTTTTGAAATAGTCGAATAGGAGGAAGTCAATCTTTTAAAGATAGTGATCTTATAAAGAAAAACTTTTCACTATTATGGTTAACTCTGAGTTGATACTTTTATTCTAAACCTGTATTTTTCCAAGGGATTTTTTTTTTTTATCATGTCAAGCTTAACACTGGGCTGAAATATGACACAAAGTCTCAAACAGGAGGATTTTCTTGATATTTTAAAAATGTTTTGCCCAGTTTAAGTGGATGTCATCATAGAGGACTGTTCATGGCAAGCCCTGTTTGAAACTCATTTTGCCCCAAATGTTTAACTCCGCTAGAGGTAGAGACAGACAACCATTTATTCTTTCTACTATGAATGAAAGAGAAAGTGGAGAATTTGCCCAGAGATTTTCAGTAGGAAAAAAATAGGAAAGACAAGCCTAGAAAGACACATCCCTACTGTAAAGAATTACTGTGCATCTTGTTTCTCCTCTTGAATTTCCTTTCTGACTCACCCTCCTCCGCCCCCCAATAATACAACCACTGAAAGTAAAAGTCAAGGGCTAGTAATGGAGGCAGTGTTAATGCAGTAAGTATTTGTCATGTACACGGTGGGCAGAAGAAGCATCTCATTAGTCAGAAATGTGTAATTCGTTTTTACAAATCAAGCAAAATCAACTGTATGAGTGACATCAGAAGATAATGAACTAACAAAAAGAGATGCAGTTTTCCTTTTGTTGTGGTGTCTTCTACCACAAAGGACCTAATGAAAGACTTCATATACAAAATGGCAGCAGCCACCCCCACCCTGGCCACTGAGTCATACAGCATGAGCAATCTGGCAAGAGGGCATGATTTTTTTTAAATGAAATTCTTTTTTTAAAAGATGTGATACCTATAGAAAATGTGAGGCCTTTTCCTGCAAATTCTCTTTGTAAATCAGCTACAAATTTCTCTCTTATATGTTCCCTCTGTTAAAAACAAAAACAAAGACGCATCAGTTAAGTGATTTTTATTTAGTAATCAGTATCAGAAAAGGCAATAGTAAGCAGGGAACTGTGGTTCTAGCTAGCTGCTCCCAAGTCCATGGATGCAATGGTGCAGTATTAGTCTTACAGAGCTACGTTCTGCTCAGCATACACCAATGTAGTCTGGAGTATCTCCATGGGGCTACTATGACATTACACAAGTGTACAGTGAATGCAAACAGAATTTGACCTATACCATGTTATTTTTCACTTCCGTCTGAGGAGCTCCACATATTCTACATACTAATGAATTAAAAATTAATGAATGGTGTATTATACCCTTGCTGAAAAGCTCAATTTGACAGCAAGGGTGTAATACAAGGGGAAACTGAGGCACTGAGAGGTTAAGAACAAATTTTCAAAGGTGGTCTCTAATTTTGGATGCCTCACACTTTTGGGCCTGAGACACACTGAAAATCAAGCCTAGTTTTCTAAAAGTTAGGCAGCCAGTTAGGCAGCCAGTAACTGAGGTACTCTAACTTAGAGACATCATTGGAAATCTTGGGTCTTGGTGACATGCCCAAGGTCACAAAAGAAGTCTGAGACAATGTAGGAAACAGAACCCAGATTTCTCAATTCCCAGTCTTATGCTTTTAGGCACAAAACCATCTCTGCCCTGGTAAATGTAACTGCATTTTAAAGATGGCTAATGCTGAGTAGTTTAAGCCTCAAGTTTAGGTTTTGTTTAAAAAGCATTAGAGAAGGTAATAGGAAGAAAAGAGTATTTTCATTAATTTTCAAAGAACATAAAGCTACTACAGTGATTGGTGCTATACAAAACCCAAGACACACTGACAGACGAGGGGTTTCTGGGAGGACTGATGCAGGGTAAGAAGGAAGGGAGATTTATAGTATTGGAAACACCTCACAACAGCATTGTGCTAGAGCACCAGAAAGAGAAAGCGAGATCACCTAATCTGCTTTTTACATTTCCTGCAGTTTGAACAATGAAACTCAACCAACAGCAGGGAGAAAGGTGTTAAACACAGGAAGGGGAGTTTTTGAAAATATAATTTGACCGTGACAGTGTCCTTTAGAACAGTGAGGAATAAGAGATGTAACCCATTTTAAAAATTGACTCACTTTATCAAATTCATAGAACTCAATTCGCTCTTCCTGGCTGCAGCTTCTCCCAACAGGGCAGACATTCAGCATCCCATTTCGGAACTCAATAAAAGTACCCCTGAAAAAGAGAGTCAACTGTCACTGCTGAAAATGGACGCAAGTCCACGTATGTCTGAAAGGCAAACACAGCGATGATCAGATTGCTGAAGCTGAATCTCAAGAACTTTTGCTCTGTTACTGAGATCTCCAAAAATGGCATTATGTGATGAAAATATTACAGTTTAAAGGAACTGTGTTTGCCCATTACATTAGTGATAGCTGAGGAAAACACGCAAGTTTTCATTTCAAATTGCAAAATGTAATTACCCAAATAGAAATTTGCTTAGGATGTCAGAGTAAACATGATTACTACGTATCTTGCACATTGTTGATAAAAACAGTTGTAAGTGCTCAAGACCTTGTGGGTCAGATGATCAGCCCCATTCCTCTTCCTCTCTGTAAGCAGCTAGAAACCCAGCAGGATTCAATTCCCCTGGCGTGGAGGAATCTTTGATGAGTGCAGAGCTCTTTTAGCCATCTTACACTACCCCTGTTGATCTCTGGTATAGAAGACACTCCCATTAAAAAGGATGCATGGCAGAAGCACCCCTTCACTCTAATAATCACTCCTTAGTTGCTGGATCAGCTCAGCTGTGGCTGGACAGAACTGAAAGCAACCTTAGGACAGTTCTTAGCCAGCCCCAATATTGGGGAGCTGCAAGGGTAGCTTAAACCTATCTTTCACTCTCCCTGTGCCAGCTGTATGGAGCAAAGGATCTAGCTCAGCATCTCCAGCAGTTGCATTCCCAAATATGGTGCAGGGCAATTGGTCTCAAATTTTAGAAGAAAATTTGCAAACTTATAATTTATGGAAGCAATAATGCCTTTGAATTCCAGCTGCATCAAGAAATTCCTTTTACATTAAGTTTAATTTTCCCTTCCTGGGAAATGAAAATAGGAGGTATCCCAATCAGCACCCAATGTTCTGTCTTTCTAGATTTTTATGGAGTAATTTGTTCTATGGGGAAAAAGTAATTCCCTGTTCCCTGGCCAGCAACTCTGGACAATCTTTTCTTTTGATCCTTCTTCACCTGCTCCAATAGCAGAGCTTGTCTTCCTATGTATGGGATTGCTGGAACAATAATATATATCTATCTCAATTATACAGTGTGCCCTCAAACACAAACCATCCAGCTCTAACTGGACTGGACATTGTCTTCCCTATTGATGCTCAACATCCCAAAAGCGGGAATACCCTCTCCCCTAAGATGTGCATGTGCATATACCTACCTTTTCTTTGGCAGTTTAATCTTTGCAATGTAACTCAGACAATAGTTGATTAGATCTTGGAGCAGGTCCTCACCCAGATGACTTTGAATGCTCTAAATGTACAAAAAGACCTGTCAGCTATAGGTCCAGAATTCAGGGTTCTGAAAGTAGCTAACTGACAACACAGCTTTGGGATATTCCTGTATAGCAGATCGCAGAAAAACATGTCTTAGATAAGTGATTTTCAGTTAGTATGTGTGCGGTATGGTAAGGCTCCCATTCTCTACCTTAATCATATACTGCTGTGCTGGGCAACTGACTACCTCTCCCTGTGATCCTCTAAGCCCCTAGTTCAAACTGTGGGTTAGAAAATGCAGGATTGAATGGAAAGAGGCAGACAGTGGCTAGTACAGTGTGGGATACCACTGTCTTAGATTTCAGTCTGGGCCCTGAGCTATTTTATTTTCCATTCTGCAATAGCTAGATTGAGTCACTGAAGATTATCACAATATTAGATTTAATCAACAGTATTTTCTCATCCACTTACAGTATTTCTTGTATAAAATACACTAGTATTTAATATTAAATCTTAGTATAAAATACACTAATCAATCAAGAGTTCACTCTAGGAGCTAGATCTTAAGTAGCAGCCAGGGTACACTCCATTCATTTGAGGGTGGGGAAGGACAAAAGATGAAAGCCACCTTCCAGTTTCTCAATTCTCAGGCCTGTCAGGGATCAGATATAATTCAGAGTAGCCTCAAGGGTACTCTAAATGAGGCCCAATTGCCATGGAAATTCCATGAGCTTGGGATCACTAGAGGGCTCCAGCCATGATCCCTATGCCAGAGGCTCGGAGAGATGTCACTCAAGAATATCCCATGCTGGAAAAATTCTCACCTAGCCAAATCTACCAGGTTTTGAGCAGCACAAAACAGGAGGTCTGAGGTAAGGATCTGGCCCCATACCTCGTGTCAGTCTACAAGGAGCAAGATGAAGCGTCAATTATACAAATAAAAGACAACATATAAAATAATTTCAGACTTTGTTAAAAAATGATCACTAAAACTGCATACATACCTGCTTGCACAAAAATTCCCCATCTTTGTATGACACGAGACCATTTTCCGGAAAGACGTAGTCAAATTTTTCAACCACTAAAATACAAACAAAAAAATGCTGCAGCGTCTACTTTAATTTGCCTTCCCTCGTACTTTATAATATGTAAACCCTTTCAGGTCAAAATACGGTAGTTTTTAGTATATTAAGCACAAAAGTTACACACTTGTAATGTCCGGTGAGAGACTCCAAGGACCTAATCCTGCAACTCCTCTGTATTTGTTCCTCCTTCGGAAGTCACTGGGAGACTAACATCATGTGAAGAGCTTGTAGTTAAGTTACATACATTTAGTGTTAAGGATCTGACTCCATCCTTAGCACATTTCTTTGTACTTTATTATTGTAAACTGTCCTGGATCCAGTAAGTATTGCAAAACCTTGGAACAACAATCTGGATTTAAACTGATAAGGGGACAAAGGAAAGTTTACCTATTTGAGAGTGATGTTTTCAATGCAACTCTGCCTTATTAAGATTTGTGTGTGTGTGTGTGTTTACATTGAATTATAGGAGTATTGAGTCTCCTCTGAAATATGTAAGTAGTATTAGAAGTTGAAAATATATGGTTACAAAATGGTGAATCCAAGCAGCTTGTTCTGAGCCATTAACTATGTTGCAATAGGAAAACGTACTGTACTATTTATTTCACTACAAGCTGTGTGATACTGCTGCTGAAACTAAAATTCAGCATTTGGATTCAAATGAATTTTGCAGGAATAGGCTGAAGACCACTATCAGACCAGCTGTGGAACAGAATATTCTGTTTCAAGAAAAGCTGTGAAATCACATCCTGACCTGAACATTTGCAGCAGTTGTAACACTGCTGGAGATTATTTCAGGGTATCAGGATCTTGCTAGCGTAGGACAAGATGACTTCCTGGAGGCCACTTACAGGCCACAGTTAGGTAACATGTTTGTGGCATGTTCTGGGCTTGCAGATTTGTGAATTACGGAAGGCTATTACTATTGATCTTTCACATTAAAAATATTACATAGAGTTGAAAAGGAAAAGAACCAGATTTTCTTTTCAGAGCCACCATCTAATAAAACCAACTCCTGCATGGATGAACACATTAGATAGCTTAACAACATATGTAATGAGATATGCACACCTCCATTTTATAAAGATGTTAAAATATATCTTACTACAATGGTAGTGTGGAGTCAGTACTTCACTCTGAGTCACAATCCCTTAAGAAAAAATTTCAAGATCTTTAAGATATAAAATCATCCTACCCAAAAGCATAGGTACTAGATAGGACTTTTAATGCAGCTGGTAGGTGTCCACATAGGGTATAAAATTCAGCAATTGTCATATTCTAACCTGAGCAGGTTCTGAGTGGGACAGTAAATAACTAACTTTTCATGAAATTGATGTGGTATAATAAACACAGAGAAACTGATACTCAGAACAAGGAATAAGGAAGCTTGCATTTAATGAACAACTCCAGGAGAAAGAGTTTGTATTTACGCATCAGGACTACCTCATAAGCAATTTGTTTCAACTGGGATTGCATCATCCTCTTTTCTTACCATCGTCTCCCAGCTGCTCTTGAATTTTGTCCAAGTCTGAACCACCTACAAGTCCAACTCTCACCTTCTTCCGCAGCTTCTGCAGAAATTCTGCCATTTCTGCTGTGATTTTCTACATTAAAAGAAGAGTTTACAATTTTTAGGTAGTCTAGGTACTTTTAGTTTGAGATACCAGTTGACCGTAAATACAACAGTGCAGTGGGAAAAAGGTCACTGGGAACTAAACTGTGTCGGGCTTGAAGAAACAATATGAGAGCTAAAAATGCCTATGAGAAAATCTTCCCATAAGGTAAAAATGCCTTAAATAAGAAGGAAGCCACTACAGCATTTGGCTCACTAATGCAGTGTGTTCCCTATTGCTAAAAAGTCAAAAAACTGCACTGGCTTCTGAGGTGTCTTCTAGGTCAGCCTCCACATAGACTGAACTAATCCCCCCCACCCAGTTTGGAAGTCAGAGGCAAGTGTGACAACGTCCATATTCAAATAAATGGCTTACAATCACCACACTAAACTCATAGGTTAAAAAATGGCACTTATGGGCACTGCTGCTTCCTGAAACCAAGAAAAATTGAGAATCCAAGAGCTCCCTCCCCTAAACTGCAAGCCAACAACATTATGTGCACCCGCAACTCTCAAGATGGAACAGTAGGCATTTCCTTCAAATTACTGGCATTATCTCCATTCTCAATTCATTGAGCTTCAGTCAGCTAACTCTCATTCCAGCCAGCCAGCCATTATTTACTGAGACAAAGTTACTCCTAAAAACAGAACAAAAGACAGTAAAATAATATGAAGGTACATCATCATCTTAAATATAATGAATTTTAAAAAATGAGTTAAATTAGTTTCAGGCCAGACAACTGCCCACAAGTGTCCTTGCTAAATTTTTGTGGCTTTATAACAACTTTCTTTTAAGATGTCTCTTCCGTTACTGTGAGAGACACTCGTGCAAAACAAAGGAAACAACAAAACTGGCTATATGTGAAGTATTGTCAAAGGTACAAAGTAAATAAACTGAAAAACAGTTGAAAATGTCATGCACTTTTTCAATTATAGTTACACTGAATATATAAAATATTCAAAAGTAATATGATTTTTATTTTGAAGCTGTTACAAAAAAATCTTGTTACAAGAAATCTCAGTTTGACTTAAACTCAATGCATATGACTATATAATTATTCATTTCCTAAACCTTGCATGTTACTTCTAAATCAATAGAAAATAAATATTCCAGCCCCCTGGGGAAAAAACCTGAGCTGCACCTTTATTTATTTTTCTGAATCTCAAAGTGAGATATATTAATGTCTGTTCAACAAAATCCATCCCCCAGTGTAATATGGTTATTGCTAGCAGAGGTTTTGGAATAATTAAGGAAAGAAGCTCCTGTGACAGTTAAACATTGGAGCTGACAACAAAACATGCTTCTTAAAGCTGAATCCTAATAATCAGGAATATTATAAAAAAGTTATAACCCAGAACTTATATTTTCTTCCTTGCCCACATACTGAACTCATCCCATGGGGCAGCAATGGATACTTTAAGCTTGCTTTATATAACACCTCCTCTGCCACTCCCACTGTGTACTGGTTCCTATCCTTTCAGGGCTACTGTACAGTTTAGCAGACAAAGGCCTCGCGTGAACTTGTCAAGCAGTCTCCCATTTAGCAGTATGCACTATAATATCATGTGGCGCTTGTCTTAATCCAAGTCTCCAGTCTCAAAAGTCACCTAAACTGTTACCAAAAAATTATTGCAATCAGAATGGACAGGGCTCATCATTAAAAATAGCAACACAGAGTAGTAGTCACAAAGTCCTAAGTTTCTGGGTGGCTACTCTTTCAGAGTTTGCACATGGGACCGAACTGGTGATCAGAATGTCGCAGCAACAAGAGATTTTTGTAGTGTAGTATGTATTTTCTAAATGGATAACAGACCTAATTCTCAATTACTGAGAGACAATCCCCACTCATTGATATATTTTGCTTTCCACAACCAAATCTTTGTACAACTTTTCATGAGTGATGTACCCAAGAATTCAAATTCTAATATCTAAATTGTATTGTTAAATCTATTCACCTAAATTTGGGATATTGCTGATTATGTACTCTATGTATCATATGTAAAACTTTTAAAAACTAACTTTGTATGTGTGGATAATCTAAGCACTATACCCAGATATACAGACACGCTTTTCTCAATCTATGTATTGTATAACTTTAACATTTGCGTTAATAAAAATTTTAAATCTATCACACGTGCCGCTTGTGTGAATATTTTCAGCCAAAACCTATTTTTGCTGAAGAATACAGATTTGGGTCAACCAAAAATTAATGCGAAGCCATGACAAATGTGCAGGACAGTTTCATTCCAAAAAACTTTTTAAAAAAGTTTTGATTTTTTCGGTACTTGAAATGAGTTTTTTTCTGAAGTTTACTTCAGTTTTAATTTTAAAAAGTTTCAAAAAGCTCTAAAACAGAATGAAATATTTAGTGTGACCCAAACTAATTTTTTTTTAACACTTTGGTTAACTGAAAAGTTCAAAAAATGTTCATCCCACATCGACCTGAAACTATTTTCTTCTCCAATTTTTCAGCATGGCCAGCTGAGTTGACGGAGTGGAGAAATCAGTTTTTTGCACAGTTCTAATCATAAGTCACTGACACACGGTGTTGACAAGCCAGAATACTACAAGCGACACTACCATCTTCCACCAACATGGCAAACAAAGCATGAAAAGAACATGACTGTAACACAGGGGCCCCCTATTGGTGCAAAAGTGATGCATGGAATATTAGTACAGGAGGGAAATTGTAGGTGCTAAATCTTTGGTGGGACTGGAAACTACTATTTTCTAGGTCTTTGATAGTGTAACTCTCAGGGTTTGTCAACTGCATATTTTGGAGTCAGACCTGATGGGTCTGGCAGACAGTATCACCGATAACCCTGCCCAAACCACACCCCTCTCCCCAATAACCTCCCCAGGCTCCCAGTCCAGCCAGAGACTCCCCTAATAATCACCTGCCCAGGTCCTTCTACCCTATACTCCATAACCTCCCATTCATCTGCCATGTAACACCACAGCCCACCCCAACCCTATACCCCCCCACAACCCACCGTCAACAACCTCCCACACATCCCACAACCCACCCCAACCCCATAAACTCCCACACATCCCCATATCAGCCCACCCGAGGCCTATACCCCCCACAACCCATCCCAACCCCATAAACTGCCACACATCCCCATATAGCCCACCCCAACCCTCTACCCCCCCCACAACTCACCGTCAACAACCTCCCACACATCCCCATATCAGCCCACAACCCACCCCAACCCCATAAACTCCCACACATCCTCATATCAACCCACCCGAGGCCTATAGCCCCCCACAGCCCCTACCCTATGCCCCCCACAGCCCTCCCCAGCCCCCACACCCTCCCACACATCCCCATATCAGCCCACAGGCCACCCCAGCCCTATACCCCCACAACCCACCCGCAACCCCATAAACTCCCACACGTTCCTCCATGTGACGCCCACCCCCCAGCCCGTCCCAGCCCCAAAGCCTCTCATATATGACCCCCCGACCCACGCCAGGGCCCGCTCCCAATCACCCGCTCCAGGTCCGAAAGCCCCAGGGACACCCCCGCCGGCTCACCTGCCTGGGGGCGGTCAGGGTCCCATCCACATCGAAGAGGCACAGGACGCTGCTGCCCGGCGCCGCCATACTGCGGATGACGTGGCTCAGTCCGGCCAGCCGGGCGCTGCACTCGCTTCCGGCTCTGCGCGACTCCGCCGCGGGGGATGCCGGGAACCCAAACCGCTCCACCGACAGGCGCCCGCAGCGCCCCCGCCCCGCTCCCCGAGCCCGCCCACAGTGCAGCGCGCCGGGCCGCGACGGCGCAGGCGCAGTGTGCGGCCGCGTAGCTTCACCTCTGTACGTGTCGAGATGGTAAGAGGCCGGGGACTGGCGCTGGGGGATGCGGCCCAGCGCCCGCTCGTAGGCCGGGCCCCGGCGGTATTCGCAGGCGTGCTAGGCGCTGTACATGGCGCACAGCGCTAATACTCCGCCTCTCGAGGGCCGGTCCCAGCAGTAGCTGGGCTGGGGTGGGGGACGAGCGGGCCAGGCCGCGGGGGGAAGGCGCGGTCGGCAAGGCGCCGCGGGGGGAAGCACTTTGCCGGCAGACACGCCGCGGAGGTGGCGGTACCTAGCGCCTGGACAGCCCCCATGACGTTTCGCCGAGGGCCGGTGCCGCTCCCCTTGCTGCCCTAAAGCGAGGCTGTTGGGCGCTCCAGGGCCCTTTCGCCTGTATGCGCCGTGATGCGGCTGCTCCTGGGCCGCTCTACGCCTCTAGAGCAAGGAATTCTGCCTCTTCCGTGCTGTGTACACGGGCCTCAGACTGAAATCTGCACCTGAGTAAGTGTCTCAACACAAACACAGGCTTCACCAGTTCGCTTAGAACACAGTAGGAATGTAAGGGCTACACCCTGATGGTCCTCAAGCTGCTACAGAGACAGATATTATAAGAGCTGCAAGTGTTGTGTAATGCCAGTATTGAAAGATTTAATGGTGTGGTATGGGAATGTTTTCTTTTAGGCTGGAATCTTCAAAATCAGGACTCGACTCCACTTGCTACCTTCCTTTGGGAGATCTCTACCAAGGGAGCTTTCACCAAGATTATGGAAAAGAGAAGACATGTGCCTACCCCGTTGCTTTGGGACCCATATGTTCTTACAGCCACAGAGATGGCAACCTGACAGTGCTAATTTTTATCCTGGGACAGGGCTGGCACTGCACAGATGTGCTGGCAGCTTAACCCCCACCAACAGAGTCTTAGAAAAGTCTATGACTGAGAACAAAGAACAGTTCAAACTGGTCTACAAGTTTCCAGGAATTAAATATTGTAGAATATTTTCAAGAATGAAGTTGCTACAGACTGGTATAACCATAGTCATCCTCCCTCCTGTCTATCACCTCTATCTGCAGGAACAAGTTTCTCAGGATTTTCTGTTGTATGTCACTGGCACTGCTTGCTTTGCTTCTGCAATGCTGTATGGTATAAGTTATTTTCTCAGACGAATGATTGGACTGATGTACTTAAATGAAGCTGGCACCATTGTAAAAGTGGCACACTTAACATTTTGGGGAAGAAAGAAAGAAATTTATTGTCCAGTTGAAACTGTAATGATGTTGAGTGACACTGGAGATGCTAAAAATGAAGTACTGCTCCAGTTTAAACAGCACAATAGTACACAGGTTTTATATTTTACCCTAACGTTTGGCCGTATTGTGGATAAACAGAGGTTTGCCCAAATATTTGGAGGATTTTAGTGACTCATTAGATGCAATGACCAACATTTTCCAAGCGTCTAGCTTGTTTAATGTTTTTCCATTGCTCTTCATGCTGAATTCATAGCTTAATAGATTTGTAAGCACTCAAATATGGAATATTTCCAGACTTTTTCCATACAAATCCTTTATGAGCTAACATGCACACCCGTGTTTGTATAAAGGGGATACAATGATGTAGCAACCCACCAGATAGAAGTTCCTGTACAACTAGTTTCAGATGAAAGGGGAATCTCATCACACACACACACACACACAACCATTATGTAAAGAAATATGGTTTAATATTCATGTCTTATGGTAACTTACACAGTTGAAATCTTTAAAATTGTTTCACCTTAATCTGCAGTTGCAGTTCAGTGTGGTGGTGGTGGGTTTTTTGCGTCTTTCTCTCAGCGTGGCTTTCAGACTGTAGAATGGCAGTTAAAAAAAACATTTATTGGTAAAACTGAGCAAATGTAATTTGCTATCATAGATATAACATAGCAGCCCACAGTGCCATTTTTAGTCTCTTGTGAGACTGCACTTCCAATTTATATAAAATTTTGATCAGGCAAGTCTTATTTATATTAACATGAAAAATTAATAAGTTATTAAAACTGTATCCTGGTACAGGGATTTTCAAAGATATTGTCATGGGAGTGAGGTGGAATTGCTTGCTCGCTCCCTTGTCTTCTGGGCTGGCACCAACTGGAAAGTTTGCCACTCACTTTTTTCTGTAACAGTTGTTCTGTCAGATCAAAAGGTGTTAATGGAATCCAGAGTGAACTTTGTCCATCTTTCATCTGTAGCTTGTGGGTTCAGTGCTTGGATGATCTTCACAAGGCTCTAAGTATTGCTTGGAGAAAAATATGTTGCAAGAGAATATCTACTTCAACTATATGAAAGCACAGAGTAGCTGGACAGTGTGTCAAGAGCCACAGTAAAGCATTTTAAAGTGTGTACATAATGAAAAGGATCAAAAATTCTGAAGAGAAGTATGTTACAGTAGTACTATTTACAGACACACCATCAGGTTCCTGTTCAAGTTTAAAAAACATTTTCTTACCCTGGTCTATAGACAATGTCTTAGGTTATTGAAACAAAGAATTTTAAGCATTTATTTTTCAGGGCTTATGCTCTGTTTGGATTTTCTTTTTCAGTTTAACCAACTGAAACTGTCAATTTCATTTTCTTAGGCATAGCATTGTAATATTTGGGTTGCAAAAACAGCAGGGGAATGGTTATTTTTAAAAGGTTAACATTAAAATAAAGAATCATGGAAATATTTGAATTGGGCTGAGATTTTATAAAAAGTGGGTGCATGCACAACTTCATGTCATCACTGATTGGGATCTTTCGACAGCAACAGTGCCCACACAGGAGCTAAATAGCACATCAGTTCAAAATATCCTTCCACTGACCAGACTGCAGTTAGAATACATTTGCTTTTTTGCTGTGTGTGGTATGGACTGTACTTATCACAAATTTAAAAAAAACCCAAAGTTGCACTGTATAAAGTGTTAACAGACTTCAGTTGTGTTGCTTACTGATACGGAATGACAGGTAATTAAGCAGATTTATAAAGCACAGTATGTATTTTAATGACAATGTAATGGCTACCTTTATTACTATCATGTGAAAAATTACAAATGTCAACACAAGCAAACCATATGGTATAGTGGGAGCTGTTTGATTAAAGTTGCACCACTTTACATAGTATTAAGAAAGTTCATAGGAGTAAATCCTGCCCAGTGCCTCTCCTGATATGGAATGCTCTGGTTACACACCATCAGTATCTGTGTTTGTGTTCGCTTTTGGCAGTCTCACAGAGGCATATAGCTGCCCCCACTGCTATGCGCACCTGGAGAGGCTGGAAGAATCACTATTCAAATTCTGTACTCCCCCACCGAGGACAGCAGCTTTACTGCTCCATGGCCTGGGTGGAGAGTAGTCCGTACCTCCCCAAAGATGTCCTTACCAGTGAGCTGGAAATCAGGATCAAGATTTACTCCATAATGAGAAGCAGGCCTGGACATGGAGAAAACATGGACTCAGTGGGGAAAAAGGGGCAGTTTGCCCAGGAGTCCTGTTTGAGAGGGCCACCAAACCTAGTGGTGTTGCAAACTGTTGTATCAGATTGCAACATCACGCACTGAAATTTGGCACAGTGAGCCTGGGACACGAGGTGAGCCTTATCCTGGGGTGAGTATGGGGTGGGCTCACTCTCCAACCCCCTCCCCTCTGTGGTAATCTTTTTGGAAGGGTGGGGAGCCTCAGTTTTAGATTTTGCCCCAGGCCCTCAAAACCCTCTGTCTGGCCCTGTATGGACTTTATACCTATAATAAATTTCATTGTATATTAATGAAGGGCCTGATCCTGCAATTTTATCCTTTTCACATTAAAATAATTGAATTAGTAAAGGGAGAGGATGGCTGGTGGGATAAGATAGATTACTCAGTACAAAAACACTTGAAATTGACCAAATGAAGTTCTACAAGAAATCGTGGTCTAAGAAGCACAAAGTATTCTTATCTAAACCTAACCTGTCAGATAAGAGCAATTACAGAGCAGCTGCCAAAGGAGGTCACTAAGGCATCATAAATGGAAATGTTCAAGAAGAACATAGGTGATCACAAGCATTAGCTCAGAGTTCATTCCACCTTTTAACATCTTTGGAGGTTCCATTTCTCATTACTTAGCTGCTCTCGATTATTCTAGTATTACTGATTTCTGCGACAGATTTACAACTGAGTGTCAAATGTTTTGCCTAGAGTCAAATAATTCCTAAAAACATACAGCACGTTAATGCAAAATCCTCTCTGCTGCACTGGTATGCAAGAGTAGAGGAAGAAAGATAAGGATTAGGGAACTAGCAGCAAGGCAGGACCTTATGAGTGCTACGCTGAAAGGCCAGCCAATGTGAGATTGCCATGTTCCTAAGGATATGTATGCACTTTGGGGTGGTGGTTTGAGTCCCAGTTTAAGAAGGCATCTCTGTACTAGCTGTGATTGAGCTAGCACACTAAAAATAGAACACAGCCATGGAGGCACAAGGGGTGAGAGGGGCTAGCAACCCGACGTACATACCTGTCTGAGATGCTAGGCACATACTTGGGACAGCTACCAGCTCCTGCTGCCACAGCTACACACTGTTTTTAGTGCATTAGTTAGATCAGAGCTAGCACAGTTATGTATCCTCAAGCTGGGAATTACACTCCCATCTTGAAGTGTTAAGACATACCTTAAGGGGTGGAGGTGTAACCCTACCCCAATCAAATGGATTACATGCTGCAGTCACAGCAGCATGGTGTGCACAAAGTGCACTTTGCTTCTGCTTGTAGGAGCAACAAAGAGCATTTCCCAGGGCACCTTCAAACCTGTCCTGTGAAATCCTGCTATGACTGGGTAAAGTTCATAGTAGAATTTTGCAGGGAGTATGTCTGCTCCCTCCACTGTGCTGAACAGGGCAGGATTCTGCTCACTGATAATACTGTGAACATTGAGGTCTGAACTATCCCCATCTATGAAATGGATAATTACTTAGTTTTTTTTAAAATGCACCCTCAACACCCATAAGTACACCTACCTCGCTGGCGTGTTGTGAAACTTAATCAACTGATGTTGAGAAAACTACTGATTCAGAGAATGAAATGATAGTCATCTGGATGGTGCTCACTCAGTGCTGAATATCAATCAAAGACCTGTACATGAAAAGTCTGCTGGATAACATTAACATTTCTATCACAAATTCAAGAAAAACCTACAAATGTTGAGTTGTTCTGGAAGTGCTGAAGACTTTTCTTACACCATTTTTACTTCATGTAGCAAACCTAGGACAATGGCAAATAATTTAGCTCTCAGTGTTCACTTGCCTTGGAAGAATTAGCTATAATTTTCAGGGTTGTTTCCACACCTCGTCCTTGGCTCATTTTTGTGTGTGTAAAAAGAAAAGGAGTACTTGTGGCACCTTAGAGACTAACCAATTTATTTGAGCATAAGCTTTCATGAGCTACAACTCACTTCATGTGTGTGTGTTGCAGAGGGAAAATCACCACCATTTAAACACATAACTCAGACCAACCCTGATTTGCAGTCTACTAATGCAGAGCCAGTAGGGGGAGTTCACATCATTCCTATGGCTTGGCTGAACTCAACGCTAGTGCAGTAAAGCAAGAGGAAATGACAAAGCAGTCGGTTGGCTTGTGATTCCTCTTGGCTTAAATACTAATGCAGCCGGAGGTATCACCTGACAAGAGTGGGCTATGTGTATGGTGTACTATCCTCCAAAGAGTATATACAAATACAGAACTATGTAGTGAGCATAACATTTGATTGTATATTTTTATTTAAAAAGTGTATTTCTAACAATAAAAAGTGCTACTGGAGGAGTTCAATTATAAATATTTTATTTAATAATACTGATTACACCGGAAACTTACTTATTTCATGGATTTGTGTACATTGCTACCAGTTACATCATGAAGTGCAGTTAGGTATTTTTGTTTAAACATTTGGCACGGTCCACAATATGCTGTAAACAATATTACTTTATTATGCTTAGGCTGCAGTGCTCTCTGTGTATGTTTTCTAACATAATCTGAACAACATACATTTTGCACAATTTTATACAGTTACTGAGTGTCAGTAAGAGTTATAAAAAACACCAAGAGTATTTATAATAAAAGTGAGGATGTGATAAGACTTCATTACTGGAACTTTGATTCTGTAAAAGTACAAGATTTGCTAAAGACATTTACTAAAATCTACTGACTGATATGTTGAATGAACTAATTACCAAAATGTTGTCAAATGAGGAATTTTTTAGTTTGACTTTCTGCTTGATAGTATTATATCTGCTAGGACTGGGATGACAATGAGGTTTCACTGTACAGTTATTTACCAACCCTTCATCTAGTCTTTGTAATCTACATATAATTCCAAGTTTTATCCTGACTTTTGCTGGCTAGTTCCCTAACTATGAACTTTTACAGATAATCATCAGAAAACTAACAGTCAAAAGCCCTGTCTACACTATGAAAACTCTGACCAATGAGTTTCAGAGTTCCGGTGTGTAGCACAGACAGGCTTACATGGATCTCCTTATTTTTAAATTAGCAGAAGTGAATTTCCTTGGTTGCTAGTTGGCAGTAATTATGAAAGTTACTTCTTAGGCAGAAATATTACGGTTTTCAAAACAGACCAGAAGACTTAGACATATCTTTCATTGAAATTATCAGAACTTGTGTCTAAATCTCCTATGCTGCTGAGCAGGTCTCAACCTAAATATTTAAGTGCTTCCACTGAATTTAATTTTTAATTCTTATTTATTGGCTCAGGACATGAAAAATTCACAAGTCAGTTCAAAATATTTTTCACCCTGAATGACGTTCAGTCATTATTCAGGCAAAATTCAAACGTTCCTTAGTGAAGAGAAAGGAAATACATAACAGCACTAGCTTAGCAAATCAGCTTCATGAAAATACTCTTTCTACTGGACAGAGGAAAGGCATATATAAAGGAGATACCCCAAAACAACTGTCTGATAGTGAACAGATTAACAGACCACTGACATTTATAGATCCTGTGATTTTCTAAAGGACCCTAAGCGTGAGAGAAGAAATCTACTAAAACAATAGAATTATTTTGCATTAGAGCTGTGCACTTGGTAAGGACTCCATCACAACAGATCTGATGTCAAGTAATGGCTCGGTACAAAACAATGCATCTGTGGTTTTGCAAAATACCTTGAATTAGAAATTTTGCTAAATCAATGGCTGCATATTATGGGCAAGCAGGTTAAATAATCCTGCAGCCCAACGCATTTTAGATTGCTAAAATAAGGCTGCAGTACATGCTTCATTTTATTTCCTAAGCTTCAGCAATTTGGGTACAGTTTTGTGTGCACAAGTCTCACTTTATACATTAGGAATAACTGATCAAGGGCCAGAAAGGAATTATTCCCCCCCGCTCACTTCCATGTACTACTCAACTGGCCAGATGCATCAATGCCTCTAAAGAACTAGGTATATGTCGAAGGCAGATCTGATGGTCCCTTGGTCCAGTCTGGTATGGCAGATGGTGTGTTTGTATTTATGGGACCACAGCTGGAAGTGATTCTCTGAAATACTGTACTTGGCAGTGCTGGAAAGCAGAGCTTGCTTTGAAACATCTGTTCTCTCCTCCCAGTCACTGTCAGACAGTGGCACTTTCTGCCTGGCAGACATCTCCTAAGCTTCTACCCCACACTCACAAGACCTGCTGCTTCCTCTGGACACAAAGTGGAGAAAGGAA